GAAGACCTACCTCGACCAGGCGATCCGCGGCTGCGTCGCCGCCGTGCTGCACCTCCCCGCCGCCGACGAGGTGGACAGCAAGGCCGCGCTGGCGGACCTGGGCGTCGACTCGGTCATGACCGTCACCCTGCGGCAGAAGCTGCAGCAGGCCCTGCGGGTCAAGGTGCCCCCGACGCTGACCTGGAGCCATCCCACCGTCGGACATCTGGTGGGCTGGTTCGCCGAGAAGGTGGGCAAGGAGTAGCATGTGACGCCTCGTTGCTGCGTGTCTGTGGTTCGCGTGCGGTTTATGATTCTCTAGAGTACAGTTGTTGTTGTTGTTGTTGTTGTTGTTTTAGATTGTGCTTGTTGTTGCTGTTGTTGTTTGGGAGAAGTCGCTTTGACCTGCTGTGGATGCCTGCACATATATGTTCTGCTGATGTTTTGGGTTTTCTTGTGGATTGCTGCGCTACTTGTGACTTATGCTCTCGACACCTCCCCCTCCACTCGATCGATGTCCATATCGATTCTTCCTGTATCTACTGTCCTCGCTAATCAGACCTCTAACCAAGTTTCTTTCCGTGTAGAAGCTGTAGAATCAACGTGTAGAGGATTTCCGCTCAGTCAGCGAGCTTACCTCTCCATCCAAAGCTTACATCGTAAGAAGAGACGGGGATAGTCCAACAGGACATCTCGGTAGTCCCATCATCCGTCATAGCTGGTTGAATGCGGGGAAGACATTGCGAGACCATTGTCCACATTGGAGAGCTTGAGAAAGCACCTCCCCACTTTGATGTACGAACTAGGTTGATACAGAAAAGCTCACCTATTTACAGCGACCAGAAATCAAGAGGTTGATCTATACTGCCCGTGCCCAAGTATCACCCTATCAGCAGTAGAGCGGGGTCGATTTGCCTCGAGACGAGGAGCTGTCTTCACGCCACCGATGCTGTTTGAGTTCCCATCCAGAGGCTTGAGATTATGAAAGGCTTACGCACCAGGATGAACCAATGCGACCTCCGACTGGCGAAAGCACATCCATGCCCCCCATCCAAGCTCAAATCGTATGTGATGACGATGTTTATTAGTGTGAGGGTATTACAGAATGTGATCCTGTCTACCAGAAAAGATATACAGTTCATCAACCCGCCAGTGACCATCGTATAGACCAAGAAGTTCATTATCATTTCAGAATGGTATACCATATGTTCAAAACCACTCAAACCACAACAATACAAACAGATCCCGATAACTCCGGCAAATCACAGCTGCAGCAAGGGAATCTAAGAACAGTGCGCGAGAGTCATCATTCATGTAAGACAACACAACCGCACAGACAAATCATCAGTTCTATTTTCAACGACATTGCGACCACAAGATTTTACATGAAATAACCAGGCACGAGTTCGTAAATCGGTCATCGCGACAGGACTCGAGAAGACGAATCAAGCCTGCTGCGAGCCATCGAACCCGACCCAAGAATCCACGGTAATGGCACCGTTCGACAACCACGGCGCACCGCCCCCGGCCCCCATGAGGAAATCGCTGGAGAGCCCGGCGAACGCGGGGTCGTCCATCAGCTCCAGCGGTGGGGTGATGGTGGCGGGATCGCCGAAGTCGGCGGGGCCAAAGATCATTCCCGCAGGCAGTTTGGGCAGTGGCGTCAAGAAGCCGGAGAAGGGATCGGTGGTAGGCGGGACCACCGACCCCGATCGTGAGTGGCCGAGACCCGCCGCGGGAGGCGCCACGGATGTCGGCGGCGCAACCACCGAGTCGGCCGAGCTCTGGCTGGGAGGCGTGAGCTGCGACCATCCGCGGGGAGTGGAGCTCGTCCTAAATTGTTCCCAGGCGGCTTGCACCGTATTGGCGACCGGACCAAAGGACTGTCCCAGCTTCTCGAGGGTGCGCAGCGCTGTCGGCAGGATCTTGCGTGCCGCTGGCGTTGGCGGACACACCGGGTTGGCCAGCACAAACGAAAGAATGCAGATGGTCGCGTCCCACTGGTACTGGAACGCCGCGGTCCATCCACACAGCAGGTCGGTCTCAGAAAGAACTTGGTTGAGAATCAGCGTCACTACCACCGCGTGATTGAGCGCCGCGATGCTGTGACTATCCGACAGCGGGGTGAGGGAGGCGCCCCGGGGCGGGAAGCGAATGAAGGGACGGAAATTGGCCATCTGGAAGTGGTGATAGATCACTTCCAGGAGCAGCCGCTGACGCTGCAGCCAGAGCGGGCTAGCCGGGTTCAGATTCAGCGGCGTGCGGTCGGTGCAGAATGCTTCTCCCGAGCCCTTGCGTGGGTTCTTGAGAGACCGTGGCACATTCTGTCCCCACTCATACATCACCCGAATCTTGTCACCTAGAAATCCGGCAAGCGTCTCCATGGTGGCTGGGTCTTCGTGGATATCTTGGATTTTCTTCGCCTGCAGTAATTCAGTACAGCGTGCGCTGAATGCAGTGTAGATTCCGCGTGCGGCAGCCGTCAGCCGGATGTACTGTACATGGAAGCTAAGCCAGCTAATGTCTTCGTCCGGTGGCGACACCAACACGGTGGCCGATAGCTGTACCGCGTCACTCGAATCCTGCGGCATCGCGCAACCCACCTCATCGGGGTTGATGAGGGGCCGTCGACCCAGCGTCATCGAAATCTGACTATCGAGCTGGTACAGCGTCCACCAGATCCGAGAATGTAGCTCTTGCGAGGCCTTCGGGGTTGACTCCAAGGGCCGGATGTTGATGCGCAGGATATGCGCCGCTCTGATCGCCAAACCGAGCAGAGCATGAGCGGTGTCCAGGTTCGCGGTGTTGTAAAGATAGATGATGCAGTAGATGTGGCTCTGCAGCGATCGGATGGATGGATGCTCGAGGTTTTCCATCAATACGCGTTGACTCCGACGGTAAAAGGCATGCGCAGCAGTGGTGAAGTGGCTGGTCTGCGACGCCGTCTCACCGTCCGCCATCACCTCATCATCGGCCAAGAAAGTGCTGCCATATTGCATGCACACAGCTAGCAAGCTATCTACGAGCGCGGAGGGCTGTCGCGGGCTTTGACCGTTGCTTCCGACCCATAGGGAGTCATAGTATTGTCGAAACTCCTCCTCTGCCACGATGGGATACATCCAGTGATACGCCTGCCAGAGCAGCACCAGGAAATGTTCTTCTTGCTCGCGAGACAGGTCCTCAACCGCCGCCAGCCCCAGACGAAGACTGGGGCGCTCCGTCTCGTCCGACAGTTGCTCCAGTGACACTGTCGGAGAATGGCGATGGATCTGAGAAAGTCGGACGGGGAGCGGCGATTTGAGGTGGAGTTGGTTGGCTGACTCGGACATGAACCGGTTCAGGCGCAACACCAGGTAAGGCGCGGAGAGCGGCCCGTAGTGAATCACGCCACCAGTCTGGGACCCTGGACTATAGACACCGTCCCATGTTTGACGATGTGAAGTCGGAAGCTCTGCGGGAGTGGTGTGACCCGAGGTAGCGAAATTCGAGGCAGTAGGGGATTGGCGACGGAGAGTTTTAGCTTCGTGGGTCGCTTTCTCTAGTTGTTCTTGTAAATCTTTAAGCCGGTTCCGTAGTCGATGAATCTCCCTTTGCCCCGAAATTCGCCATCAGTTTCACGAGTAACAGTGCCAAGCTGGAAGGCCAAAACAAGTATGGAAGGGTGGGTCTTACCGGTTGGCGGCGGGCAGGGAATGAGCTTCGAACTGCTTGGTGTTACTGCAGTAGCCGCCATGGTTGCGACAGTTCTGGCAGGGTTGTTTATCGTCGCACTTGATGCGGTTGACGCGACACCAGTCGCAGGCACGCACGACCTGGTTCCGTTTGGGACGGGGAGCGGCGGCGGGCTGTTGCTCCGCGGGGCGATCGGTGGAGTTGAGGTTGGCGGAGAAGGTGGAGAACATGGCTTTTGGCTTTTGGCTTTTAGAGATAGGAGGGGAGGATACGAGCGAGGACAGATGTGGATATCGAAGATTGCGAAATCATTCGAGGCTAAACTGCCCCAGAGTCGGACGAGATCAATTCAACGCCAGAGGGGAAGAAGATAACGAAAAGATGAGGGTGGGAGAATGGTGAATTGAGGGGTTGGAGCTGAAGCGGTAAGAAGTTAAGAAGTGGGAGGGAGAGAAAAGAACAGGAAGAAGGCAGAGAGCGTAAGCAAGTCATGTGATGTCAGTCACCATCCGATTCTGTACTGTACCTTATCGTCCCTAGCACTAAGAGTAACTAAAGTACTGAACTAACCTATTAGTCACTACTGACTTCAGTGAGTACTTTAGTTAGTGAGCTCCCAAGGAAACTGTTCTCGAGACTCTACCCGAGATTTATACTAACTTACCCTCATGATTCCACCCACCCCATCGCTTGGCAGGCCAGGCTTGACTGAACAAGCCTGCTCTACGATCACCCTCCAAGCCTCACTCACCATGCTCATCCATGCATTCTCGCTTATCCCATCCTATTGAGACGTGACGACATGCTCCTTGCGGTAATAAATCATTCCTTCTGCCCTTTGATTCGGCTTAGTTTCGGCTTACACTTGCTATCGCGCCGAGGGTTTGCCTGCCTGAGTAAGATGGAGCCGCATAGAGTTTGAGACAATTGGCAGCATGGATGCTTATCCCGGCTCGCACGGATTCCCTCTGGTGCCTCTGGTGCCTCTGGTGCCTCTGGCTCTCTTTAATTTTCTCAATTATCATCATCCCTGAAGAAAAGAATTAGAGATAGCCAAGCGACCAGGCAGGGAGCCGAAGCAACCACTCAGGGACCAGGCTGTGGCGGCAGATCCCGACCTCCTATCGCCCTCCCCGAGCTTGGATGGAGCCTGAAGGTAATCACCTCAAATTAGCACTCGTACTCGTACGGACACCTTGATGGCCGATTCCTCCTGAATAGCCAATCCGTTGTGCGCGCCTTATGCCGGCATCCTTATCCTTATGCCCGGATGGTCGTACACAGCGTCCCCAACACGGACGCTGCGACAAAGCTTGGCATCTCTGGGCGCGCGCGCGCCTCGTACCGTACCGGAGCCAAGTGCAAATCGATCTCCCTTCCCTTCGAGATTGAGATTGTCGCCCCGTTCATGACGCTTCTGCTCGGTTCAACCCCCAGTTCTCTCCTCGCCATAAGCCAAGACATGGTATCAACAAGGTTACTGTCATATTGAAGTCCTGAAAGTTATGCAGGATGAGGGCAGAGGAAACAGCAGACAGCAAGCTGGAAGGGTTCAGGATGATCCCGGAAAGGTAATTGGCATGCCATCTCCGATTCCGTGAATCAGGCCGACGACCCCTCACCTCACAGGATTCCACCCCATGACAGAGACAAGAAGACACAACGTGCCCTACTTGCTGCTGCTGCCGCCGCCCCTTCCAACAACACATGGCACATGGCTCTGATTCCTTCCATTCCTTAGTTTTGGCGGTTGTGAAACCGATCGGCCGACTTGGTTTTTTTTTTTTTTTTTTTGTTTTTTATTCTTTTTTCTGTTTCTATTTTTTTTTTTTTTCTTTTTTGTTTCTTTGTTGT